TGAAATATACAGACTTAATTACTAGCTATGTAATGATTGTGTCCCCTTTCTGCTGCTGCTGGCTTCCTTTGACTTACCCTTAGATAGAGCCGCTCATTATTCTGCCCCCCTAGAAAAAACATTTGTACTGTTGCATGGATTGCTTGGAAACACTCCATCAGAAAATGTCCAAATGTTTCTATTACATTAACCTTAGCCAAAGCCTGCCTTTGAATTCTCCCCTTGGTTATAACAGAGGCTTTATGCAGAATCAAAATCATGGATTTGGTGGGTACTTGTTTGGTAGAAGGCAAAGGGTTCCCCCTTGTGGAAAGTAGATATATTACAATTTTTTTAGAAGCAAGGTCACTCATCTTTCACAATTACTTAAAACATACCAGCTGCCGCTTTCATTTTCTTAAAATACAGAAGTGCCCCAGCTTCTCCTAATCATTCTGGAGTGTTGTCTGCCCACTCCAGTGGCGTACAGACCCCAGAGAGTTTGTCAAGGGAAGGATCTCCAGTCCCAATGGAACCTGAGCCTAGTGCTATCCAGCCAAAATTAGCAGTAATACAAGAAGCACGATTTGCACAGAGTGCCCCAGGTGAGAATTTTTAAAATATTTTTTTGGTGTGGGGTGATGAGGGAAAATTTGTAAAGTATGTTGCCTGAAACAGTCTTGGTGGAATTCACACCTAAATTAAGAAATCAGTGAATGTTTTCAGATAGATAACTTTTAAGGCAAAGCATGGAGAAGTGCATAAACTCGGTGTGTGAAATATTTCCTGAAAATGGTTAATACAGTCGATACATTTCCTTCCTGGTATTTATGTATGTTCATTCCAGCACAGATAGATGCTTACTTTGCTGGTAAGCAGAGACTGTACTTCTATCTCAGTTAGGAAAATAGTGGCATATCAGTGACATCTCTTCTTCTGGAAAACGATTATATTTTTTTGTGCAAGACAGATTCTCCATGTGCAGAACATGAATTTGGATAAAAAGCTCCATTAAGAATGGTTGGTGAAAACCAAAGTGATTTCCTGGATCAAGGGTTGCTATACTAAATAAATAAATGCCTGTCTTATTTACAGTACACATTTGTAGCCATTTTGCTCTTACCCAAAGCAGAAGGCAAGAGAACCAGAATTGGGAAGGGTTGAGGAGTTGAATGGTGGGATGTTTCTTTTGTATTGATTCATCCTCCCTACTCCCCCATATTTACCTGTGTTGTATTGGTAGTTTTATTTGTATTCTAGCTATCAAGTTTCCTAATGATATCCCTTATGATAAGTGAAGGCCTGTGTAGGTCTTGTGACAAGATGCATGGAGTCAGCAACAGCAGTCCGATCATTCCAACTCTACATGCTAAAATTGTAAGGTGTAATTGTAAGGTGCAATAAGAGTCTTTATTTTCCATGTTTTAGCTCTTGTAGCAACCAGTGAAAGGGAGTAGTGAGGGTTGTTGCTTTTACAAGGCTTCAGTGTTCAGTGTGTTTAAGAGGATGATTAACAAAAAACATATACATGATTCAAACTTCCAGTGTAATTTATCTTTGCCTTTTTTGATAGGATCACCTCTATCTAGCCAACCTGTTTTAATTACTGTACAACGGCAGCTACCACAAACTATTAAACCCGTCACCTACACTGTTGCAACTCCTGTGACAACATCAACATCCCAGCAGCCTGTAGTTCAGACAGTTCATGTTGTTCACCAGATACCAGCTGTGTCAGTCACAAATGTGACTGGATTAGCACCAGCAAACACTTACACGGTAGCTGGACAGGCAGTGGTTACACAAGCTGCAATGGTAACCCAGCCCAAGGTAGAACCTCAAGAGAATGGAGATCACAAGGAAGTAAAAGGTGAGAATTGGCTTAGTTCAGTAAGTCTTATATAAATATGTGTCTTATTTACCTTTAATGCCTTATTTGCCTTTAAAAAATCACTTCATAGGTGCAAGTGAATTTTTTTTTTTAAACTTAGGGCTGTTAAGCGATTAAAAAAATTAATTGCACGATTAATCGCAATTTTAAACAATAATAGAATGCCATTTATTTAAATAGTTTTGGATATTTTCTACGTATTCAAATATATTGATTTCAATTATAACATAGAATACAAAGTGTACAGTGCTCACTTTATATTATTTTTTATTACAAATATTTGCACTGTAAAAAAACAAGACATAGTAATTTTCAATTCACCTAATACAAGTACTGTAGTGCAGTTTCTATAACATGAAAGTTGAACTTACAAATGTAGAATTATGTGCAAATAAATAACTGCACTCAAAAATAAAACAATGTAAAACTTTAGAGCCTACAGGTCCACTCAGTCCTACTTCTTGTTCAGCCAATTGCTCAAACAAGTTTGTTTATATTTTCAGGAGATAATGTTGCCTGCTTCTTGTTTACAATGTCACCTGAAAGTAAGAAATGGCACTGTTGTAACCAGTGTTGCAAGATATTTATGTGCCAGACGCACTAAAGTTTCATATGTCCCCTTCATGCTTCAACCACCATTGCAGAGGACATGCATCCATGCGATGACGGGTTCTGCTCGATAACGACCCAAAACGGTGCGGACCGATGCATGTTCATTTTCATTATCTAACTCTGATGCCACTAGCAGAAGGTTGATTTTCTCTTTTGGTGGTTCGGGTTCTGTAGTTTCTGCATCAGAGTGTTGCTCTTTTAACTCTTCTGAAAGCATGTTCCACACCTCATCACTCTCAGATTTTGGAAGGCACGTCAAATTCTTAAATCTTGGGTCGAGTGCTGTAGCTATCTTTAAAAATCTCACATTGGTACCTTCTTTGGGTTTTGTCAAATCTGTAGTGAAAGTGTTTTAAAATGAACAACATGTGCTGGGTAATCAATTGAGACGGCTATAACATGAAATATATGGCAGAATGTGGGTATAAAAGAGCAGGAGACATGCAATTCTCCCCCAAGGAGTTCAGCATCATCTGCATGGAAGCATGTCCTCTGGAATGGTGGCCGAAGCATGAAGGGACATACAGATGTTTAGCATATCTGACACCTGAATACCATGCAATGCCGGCTACAAAAGTGCCATGCAAACGCCTGTTCTCACTTTCAGGTGACATTGTAAATAATAAGCAGGCCGCATTATCTCCCATAAATGTAAACAAACTTGTTTGTCTGAGCTATTGACTGAACAAGAAGTAGGACTGAGTGGACTTGCAGGCTCTAAAGTTTTACATGGTTTTGTTTTGAATGCAGTTATGTAACAAACAACAAATCTACATTTGTAAGTTGCATTTTCATGATAAAGAGATTGCACTACAGTACTTGTATAAGGTGAATTGAAAAATACTATTTCTTTTGTTTATCATTTTTACAGTGCAAATATTTGTAATAAAAAATAATAGAAAGTGAGCAGTGTACACTTTTTGTATTTAATAAATTTCCATTAGTATTCTATTGTTTAACAGTGCGGTTAAAACGGCAATTAATTGCAATTTTTTTAAATTGCAATTAAGCTTTTCGAGTTAATCACGGGAGTTAATCGACAGCCCTAGTTAAAATAGAATTTTTATTCCATGCTTTTTCAGATGCTTTGAGGTTATTAGTAAGATTAATTATGTTCATTGGAGGGATAAAGTAACTAAATCATTTTTTGTCATGTTCTGTTTTAAGCCGTCTTGTCTTAACATATTAAATAACTTTTCTTGTTTTCCAGTTAAAGTGGAACCTATACCTGCTATTAGCCATGCTACAATAGGAGCTGCTAGTCGTATCATTCAGACATCTCAGACCACGCCCTTACAGACAGTTACTATAGTGCAACAGGCACCTCTAGGTCAACACCAGCTACCAATAAAAACTGTAACGCAGAATGGAACGCACATAGTACCTATCACCACAGCGATACAAGGACAGGGCAACACTGGTAAGCTTTTGATCAATATTGCCTATAGCCACAAACATTTCCAATGTAGGAACTGCCTTCAGAATGAGCAAATTTGTACAATTTCTCAGAATGTCCATTGTAAAATCTCATTTGTACTCTGTGTGTGTGTGTGTGTGTGTGTGACAGACAGACAGACAGACAGACAGACATTTGGTGTTTCCTTTCACTGGTTGTTACCAGAATGGGAATTTAATCTCTGGAATTCTTAAAGGGGCACTGTCAGGGATTACAACTCCCAAATTAAACCCAACCTAAAAATGACTTTTAAAATGTTTTTTTTGTTTTTGTTTTTAGTTCTTGAAAAGCAAGGGCTGCAATAGGACTGAAATGGACAACCAGTCCTCTGGGTGATCAAGAACAAACTGGGTGCAAGGCTTCTTTGTGGGTCAGCTTTTTAGGTCATTCTTCTGCTCTACTTTTCTCCAAAGCTTGTGAAGAATAAAAAATATTAAAATTTACAAGAATTCTAAAGGATTCTTTTAAAGCTTCTTGCCTGTCTTAATACCCTCTGACGTCTCAGTTTTTGAGTAGGCAGTCTGATTGGATGGCAGGACAAACGTACATTCATATCAAATACAGTTTTTTGTTTGGTTTGCTTTGCTGATAAATCTAATTTCATGCCTATTTGTTTTGACAGTTTCCCTTTGAAATAAATATGCCCAAGGTGAAGTAAAAAATTATGATTTAAACAAATCTACAGTTATTTAAGAAGTTATTTAAAGAAGATTAATCTACATGGTTGCTAATTCTTTGCTTTCTTCTCAGTTTATACGTACTTGTTTCTTTAATTAAGTTTCCTAATTGTTCCTGGAATTTCAGATTTTACATAGGAACTTCTTTCTAAGAAATTTTCCTACTTAACTTGTTCATGTATGCTTGGAAAAGTCAAGTCCAGGCCTTTGTGAACATCCTTACTATGAGAAGAACACAAACGCAAACATAAAATGCAAAGATAGCACAGGCTATTGGGGTTGTCAGACAACAACTCCTTCCAACATAATGAGCTTCCACAAGTCAAGATATCTGGAATGCTTCAACAAAGCTATATTCCTCCATCAAGGTTTGCAGTTTGAAGTCAGTTAAGAGTTCTTGAAAATGCCATTCTTGGGTACCTGGCTTTGTATTTCGGAACCTAATTTTAGGCTTCTATTCTTAAAAATATTGGCCTTTGTATACAAAAAAAAAGTTTGCGATAACTTTATTATTATTGAAAATCTGAGTAACTTTTCATTGTTATCACTGAAACCATTTTGTTTTGAAATGACAAAGATTTTGTCACTAGGAGAAGTTTTTAATAAAAATACAATTTTAGTCCCTGATGCTATAACCATTTAGATGCATGCTTAAAGGTAAGTACATTAGTAGTTCCATTGAAGTCAGTGGGACAGTTCATGTGAGTAAAATTAGATGTGTATGTACAGTATTTGCAGAATCAGAACCTTAATTTTCAATATTTCATATTTTTTAATTTTTTTTGCCCACAACAGTTTTATAAAATTCAAATAGACCCCTTTCAGTTAAGGCATTTAAAAACAAAAACCATTTCATTTATAATTCATTATAAATCTAAATCTAAAATTGCCATAGCACACATTTTCAATTAGTTTTACAAAGCTTCAGCCTGATTTAATCTTTGATTTAAATAATTTAAAATTGCCTTAACTTTAATCACTCCACCCTGAATTTGCCTTTCTGGAACAGACGGGTGATCCATTTATTGTCAGCATCTTTATTTTTGACAGTGGCCTGTACCAGGTGCTTCAGATAAAGCTGCAATAATCCTCTTAATGGACATATCTGGAGTAACTACTCAAAAGGGAAGTTGTGTTCTTAACCCAAGTATTTGCTTATGCCCAGAAGCGTGGGGGCTTATATCTCATAGATTTTCTCTTATTAACTGTAACTCGATGGTCATATCCATATGACTGTCATTTTTTGAATGCTGCCTTGTCTTCTGGTTAGTAGTTTGCACAAGTTAATACCTTATTTTCTAAACAAAACCATTTCCTGTTATCAGTTTAAATTTTTGTTTGACATTTAGTTAATTGGATGTATCCTTTTGAATTATGGTAATAATTTGGACCATCTTCTTTATTTTTTCTGAACAATTTACTATATGCCCCCTCTTATTTGTCTCCTCAGTTAAGCAGTCCTAATCTTTTCAGTGTCTTGTATAGGAACCTTTCCATTTCTCTGTCGTAGCAGATCATCTTTGTGTCCCTTCTGTATCTACTAAATTTTTCTGAGATGGGATGACCAGAACTAAAAGCAGTATTCAAGATGAGGATGTAACATCATTTTATATAATGGCATGATAGTATTCTCGATATGAGCAGGTATTTTATTGAAAGCTAGGTCCTTTTTGTGAGTGGTTTCAGTTAAAATAGAATGCTGTAATGTTTATTAGTTTAAATTATTCTGTCCAGTGTGCACTACTTTGCATATTTCCAAATTGCAATTGAACTACTATCATGGTGTCCATTTGCCTGGCTTTGATAGGTCCATCTGAAGTTTAGTCTTTTTTTGAGTGTCCTAAATTTTGTCATTGTGACACTTCAGTTTTCCCTTCATTTTTGCTTTTGAAAATGTTTTTGAAATTAAGTTCTTAAATCATAGGAGTTTTTGAAAATTTTACCCCAAATCCAAAGTCACCTTTCCTCTTGTGTGTGCTAAAGCTAGTTGTTCCAAGAAGCAAGTATTTATGGAATCAAGGGATTACTTCTCTAAACAGGCTTATATGCAGGTGACTGAAGTCGCCTACTGTTGCTTGTGTTTAGAATACATTACTTTCTCCATAGGAGCTTTTTCATGTAGAAACTGTCATCTTTAAAGTAAGGCTCAGACTTTTTATACATCTGGGTTTTAAAACAGCTTTTTATGTAATGGCAGTGGTCTCTCTTTTTTTTCTTTTTCTTTTTTTCCATCTGAAGTATCTATCTTCCTTGCTAGCTATTCAGAGATCAGATTAGGAGTTAATCACAGTGCTGACTAGAAAGCAAATGATATGTGCAAAACCAAGCAAAAAGAATATAGCAAGAAAGCAGTCTCTTCACTGGGAGGAGAAGAGACTTTGTGAAGTATCTGCTGTATCAGAAAAGCGTCTTGACAGTATAGATGGTATCAAGCTGTTTGCTGGCCACATAAAATAACTGTGAACAGGCATTCTCTACTATAATTTAGTAAGAACAAACTAATCTGAGCTCTATAAAGGAAGTTTAAAATCAGAGTATCAGAAATGCATGTTTCTATTGTTGGAACGAACAAGTAGCTTTTAATTCTTTTTAATAAAGTGTTAATGAAACCTTGTCTAGTCTCCAAACCAAATTTCCGATAGGCACTCATCCCTGTTTAATTTTCATTTTCCATTACAACCATTAATGTCTTTCCTGAATGGGTAAAAGCAAAATCAGTCTTCGAACAGTCTTTTGTTAGTTTAAATTACAGTGTTGCAGGATGTTAAATTGATCTTGACTAAAATACTGATGCTGATATTCCAGATGCTGGTGATTCAGTCGCTATATACAGGAATTGATTTTACAAAACATGGTGCTGCATATATTGTCTAGCTTCCTTTTCAGGTGATGCTGAAATTTATTTTCCTTTGCCCATTAATTTATTCTGGTTGGGAGCTGGATTTTTCTGCTGCAGAAAACATTGCCCTTAGATTCTTAATCCTATTTTTGGCCAAAGAATTTTTTTGTTGTTGTACATTGCCCCCATTCCTGGCCATTGGGTTCATTGACTGTTGTAGTGTAAACACCAAAGAAGAATATGAGCTGTTTTCTAAAAATCTACATTTTGTCATCTTTATAATGTCATCCTTTTTCTGCAAGACATATTTACAAAGGTCAGAGGTGTATTGTGTCTATAAAATTAGAGTAGCTTGTGCACTTTTCAGTCACATTTATTCCCCCCTAACTGAAATTATATTTTCACTAGAGCTGCGAGAGTGCAGAAAGGAAGCTCTTGTATGTAGCCTGATGGTGTCCTTGTTAAATTCAAAGTTCTCACCTATCATTTCCAAGTCCTCGGATATTTCATTGTCTAACATAATAGTATTTTAGTAGTATTTGCAGTGGACGTTATATAGTACTAGTAGGACCTGTGATTTTTTTCCTAAACGCTGACAAGTAGAGGGACAACTGCTTTGGGAAAGAGCTTCTTAGGACCTTGGCTCCTCTCTGGCCACATGACTTCAGATGAGGTTTATATACTGCTCCTAGGACAGCTAGGTCTCTCTTCTATCCCTTTTATTCATATATTCCAACAGGAAATACAATATAATGTGTAACAATTAGGGGTTTCTCAAGTACACCCACCACCAACCTAAACACTAAAACTTAGGAAACGCTGGATTAGTCAAACACTCTACACAGCAACAGTTCAGCCACTTATAGAATCCCCAGTCTTCAGCAGGCCCTACTCAGTACATATACATCATACAACAGAGCAAAATCTCCACCAAAATAACTTTGGGGCACGAACAGTCAGATATCAGCTACGCAGCTTTCAGACCACAGTAACTTATGCTGTGAACCAAAGGTGGCCTCAAGATTTGGGAGAAGTAAAGGTGACTTAAAGCTGTCTTCCCCATCTTCCCATGATACTTCGCTGAGCACAGCTCAGCCAGGTCAACAAATCTGGTCCTTTAAATCTAAAAATTGAACTAAAATACTTTTAGTCTGAGAGGAAAAACATTAAACAAAAAAAAAAAAAGCACCAGATACACATTTCACTTATTCAGTATGGTGCAGAATACTTTGCTAAATTTCTTTTACGTAGCATTAACTGTTCAGTCTGCTAAACTGTAACAATGCACTTAATCAGCTACCCCCTAATTTAGCTATACATGACTGTGGAACTTTGCTATGTATAAGATCCTGCTTTCAAAAAGGAATTAAGCAATATGATGAAAGGTTTTGTACTACAGTGCATCAGTGTTTTATTTGCTGTATACATTACACTATTGCATACAAAAACTGCCCCCATGCAACCTTAATTTAGCCCTCATATGCATTATGATACGGTCTTTAATTACATGATCACATACTACTTTTTCTACAGGACCCCTGCCTCATTCAGTGTTAACTGAATGAACAGCCACTCAATAGTTCGTTTTATCCTTCTTGTTCAGTGTGTGGCCAGCATTGCATTATTTGTACACCATTCAAACCCTGCTCTCAGAACAGTGAGTTTTGTTGTTTGGTTTTGGTTTTGTAAATATTTTTCTGGAAATTCCAGATTCTGTTCATCTGGCTTACATCAGTATATTGGGGAAATCTGCAAATGGAGTGCAGAGTGAAGGTTTAAAATATAACTTCAGCATAATATGCTAGTCCCTTGTTGCCAAAGAAAGTAACTAGATCTGAGAGCACTTCCCAGCTGTGCCAGAGACTCCATGTGTGATGCTGGGTTAAATCACTTAATCTCTCTGTGCCTTAGTTTCCTGGCCACAGAATGAAGATACTTCCTTTCTCCCACCCTTTTTCTTGACTATTTAAATGGTAAGTGCTTCAAGGGCAGGGATTCTAATCTTTGTACAGTGACTAGAAGAATGTGCCCTGAATCCAGATTGAGGCCTCTAATGTGCTGCTGTCAAACAAATAATCAAGGAATTCATAATGTTCATAATGTTTAACAACAATGCTAGTTTGACTCTTGTATTGTCTATTTCAAAATTAATTTGGAATCTGAAGTTTTTCATTATCTTTCTTACAGCTGCTGCAAGTCCTTTGCATATGTTAGCAACCCATGCATCCGCATCAGCATCTCTTCCAACAAAACGCCAGAATGGAGACCAGTCAGAACAACAAGAACTTAAACGTATCAAAACAGAGGATGGAGAAAGCATAGTCATAGCTGTTAATGTGGACACCCCATCTGTTGCAGTGAGTGATCAAGGCAGCCAGAACTAGAAACTTAATGGAGTTTTTTTTTTTTTTTTTTTTTTTTTTCTTTTTTTTGGGGAAAAAAAAAAAATCAACTCCATGGTGCCAAAAGGAGACACTTAAACATAACACCTAAAACATTGGAACATGTTCTCACGCAGTGGGGAAAGGGGCCCTGTGATCAGACTTCAACTTTCAGCACTGAAAAAACAACACAGGTGGCCTTAAAACTCAGTAATTTAAAAAAATCAAACTGCAAAACATCTTGTTCCAGAGGCTGTGACCCTGCTCCTCCCCACCCCCTACTGAACTAACTCTGTGTACACTGAGGAGAAATCCAGTGTTGGGGAGGTCTGCAGCTTTATAAAATCTTTATTGGATTATTTTAAGGACTGAGTATCTCAGTGTAACGGCAGCATGATAAGCGCTTAGTGTGAACTGGTTTCAAACGATTGTATATTCCTTAAAGGGAACAGAGGCAAGGAGCCATTTCCTACATCTTGGCAGCTAGCCTTTCATAATGACCTACCCAATGCAGTTGTTGGTAGATATGCAGTATTTTGTTGTTCACATGTGGAATTAGAAATTTTTGAGGTGTATTTTCATTTCTTTGCAAAATAATGGGGTCTTTGACATTTCAAATCACTCCATTTCTACTCCGGAAACTTTGGAATCACACAATACTTTTCATGTGAAATTTTGTTTCGTAAAAAACTGAATGTAGGGTTTTTTTAACCAATGGAATGATTTTCTTTTGTCTGTCCTGTTAAAGTTCAGATAAAGCTACTTTATTACATCTGCAAATTTTCATATTTTAGCAGTTGCCTGATAAATTTAATCAAATTTTATTACCATGTGTAGTGATCAAATGCTTCTTCGGGCTTGCATGTAACTGATTAGAAATTACAATGTAAATGAGCCGTTAACTGACGTAAAGAACTGCTATGAATTTGACCAGAGCTGCACTTACCTGTTTCTCTTTCTTGCTACCTTTTGCTGTTTGTTACTTTGTGTTGACTTTGACTGTCCCTGGCATATTTTTCCAGTCTAAAGTAAAACAAGAGTCTCGCTTAATATTGTGTATGTTTAAGATAACAGACTGTTCTTCATTTAGAAAAGATAAAATTCTTTATCACAAGTCCTTTTAAAAAGAGAGTAAAAATTATCTTGTCAGAGGTATATTCAGTATTTTTAAGCTTAAACACCCATCTGTAGAAATTAATCTGACCAGTTTATCCATAAAACTTTTGATGTCATACACTGACCCTCTGGGGTCTCCATTAAGAGTAGCTGTTGTGGTTTTCTAACAGTGGCTACCATATTATTATAATAAAAGTTTTTTTTTTTTTAAAGTGTGTGTTCTGCGGTTGAACAGTTTAAAATGTATTGGTAATTATTCACTTTAATTGTGGTAATAGATTCCACCTTACATTTCCAAATTAAACTAAAAGTTTAGGCTGCTGTTCAGTCTTTAATTCACATAATGTCTTGTTCCTTCATATGGTGAGGTGAGTGAACGCTGGAGAGTGGGCTTAAACTTTGAATTCCAGTTTGTTACTCTCTGTTATTATCATGCAATTATTTATGTAAGTATTTGTTTTCCATTTCAAAAAAGAAAAATCTGTATTTTCATGATGGACTGAAACGGCTTATATTTAGGCAGCTTTAGGAAACTCTATTTACCTGAAGACCAAATTGAGAAATCTGTACTGAGTATCATGTTAATCCACAAAATGGAGTTGTTACAATGTCAATGCAGATAATACATATTAAAAATTATGAAAAATACTGTACACTAGCTGAGTTTATAAGAGGCATTTTTAAAAAATCCATGATGTAAAACTCCAGAATGATATTCAGAGTGTTAATGGGAGTTTTAAAAAAAATGAGAACAATAAGCATCCCTTGATAGTAATCTGTTTTTTGTTATTGGACACTTTATAAATTATACACAGCCATGTAGATTTAATTTAAAATCAAGGCAGTAGTTGGATATAAACCTACTGATTAGAACTTGGTTTATATTCAGAAGTGAGTCTGTTCACAACTAGAAATGAGTGAATGAAATCTTTTTAATAAATTGTTAAATTATTCAAAAAATGTCACTAAGTTAGTCTAACAGTTACTCACAAGTGTGTTTATGAAGTGTTCACTTAGGTCTGCTGCTTGACAGTTTATACTGGCAATGCCAATATAGCTGCTAATAGCAGAGCAAGTGGTGACTTGGTCCTGAATGTTTAAGCAGAAAAAGGCTGTGCTGGCAAACTGTTCCTGATCCTGCTAGTATGGAACAGATTTGGCTCTATCTCTTTTATACCCTGAAGGTTCTGCAAATGGAAATTTGGTAGCAGATCTTGATTGAAACCATTTTGAGCCACATGGAGTTTGTCACAGGAAGTTGCCTTCATTAAAGGAGATAAATCCTGTGCATGAACTCCGTGGGATATATTTTTCTTTTAATGTATGGGTTTCCAAGCAAACTTTAAAAATACTCAAGTAAAAAATGCATAACCTCTTCCACGGATGCAGTACAGGATTTAACTACTTAAAATTCAAACCTAAATGAATTGACAATGTCATATTAAACTACCAAAGGAACAGTTCAATTTAAAAATAATCTATTATACTCGCCTTAATGTCAAACACATTTGGTGGTAGAAAGCACCTAGATGATACAATGATGCATGTGGTAAGACAGGTTTGGTGAGATTCTGTATTTACAACAGTGCTTCTCTTGATATGGTACTGATGACCTTACTGAGTCAGAGTAGAATCTTACAGCCACCTTGCTTTTGCTTTGACTGACCAAAAACTTCCCCAAATGTGCCATAAATGTGGGGGTTTGGCCTCCCTCTAATATTGATTGGTCTCTGATCCAATTGCCTCTATGACTGTGATGTACTGTATTACGCTAACTACCTTCCCTTGGATTCCTTCCAATGTCCATCTCTCCTTTTTAACCCTGCTTTTATGAAAAAGGCTGTGAAAGAGTCTAATATAAGCAATCCAGCTTGTAGTACTCTAAATGGGATTTGACCAAAGCATTTTATAACTTCCTGCCTTACTTAGAGCTTGTTTACAATTGGCTATAACTTTGCTGATTCAAATATGGAAGATTAAAGTGTTCACTAGCACCCAGTGCTAGTCTGTGTCTTGCTCTTATGCTGACTTCCCTGTGTGATGTGACTCTTCATGGCAATGTCTCCAAAACCCCAACACTCCACTGGCACTCACTCCAGACAGCAAGACTTTAACCCAAGCCCCTGGGAGATAGGATCCTCTTTTAGTCCTTGAACAAGAATATTCTCAGCCCTCTCCTCGCGCTGGCCATGTGATGCCAGCTCTCATCTATTGTATGGTGCTGCAAAGCCATATTCAGAGCCCAATACAACCAGAAAGGACTGCTGGTACAGTGGGACAAAACACTCATTTTTTCTAGTAAGTGAAGTTATCTGAACGTTGAGCCTTCACACAGATTTTTGTCTGTTTGCCACTTTGCATAAATGCACAACAGTTTACTATTACACTATTCTTGATTTTACTGATTTAGGTACAGCAGCCTATGCTAACCACAAGGATATCTGTGAAAGTGTTTGGGTGAGTAAATCCACTTTCTAGTTTAGATAACTAGACAGAAAAGAAAACAGGGATGGGAGTTTTTTCAGTTTTCCTTGTTTTTGGTTGTTCGAGTGAAATTATTTAAATCACCAATTTTAATCCTGATTAAAATCAGAAAGTTGGAAATCTTGATTTAAATATCAGTTTTGTACTTTAGTTATTTTTCTAAAGAAATGTTGATTCTCATTGGATGTTAACCATTAAACATGTGGATTTGCAACTAAACAGAGCCTTCACACTAAATTTGGTACTAATTTGGTCACCAAGAAGGTAAAGCATATTTATACAAATTTATGTAAGCCGTTATATAGCTTAACATACATTTATTCAGATTTTTTATTGTTCCAAAATGGTGAATGATGCATTTATTTACTGGATTAATTTTTTACTTGTAATTTGTGTCAGTCTGCAAGTGTATGGAAGTTGGAATTCAATCAAAAATGCACATAAACAGCAACTTCAAATTGTTTTTTATTAGTTAAATAAACCTACCTTAAATGTGCTGGACATAAAAGGGGAAACAGGGTTATCAAAACATCTTTTGAATTTATGTGTAGTGAGTGAGTTGAACTGATTTGTTTCTGGTCGTCATGTCCTTTAATACTATTGGACTAGTAGTTCTTATCCTCATATCTCATTTTTATTCATAGATTGGAAGAAAAAAAATGAGCTTTCCTGCTGCTTTAACTTATGCTGCTTTCTTAGTTTTGAATGAACTAGTCATTGAACTGAAATGAAAACATTCTCTCTCAACCTGCAGAAGATGATACTGCAATCAAAAACCAGATTAGTGCTTCAGCAACCTGCTTCCAGGTGTTCGCCAGTGTCATCCAGCAGTTTGGCTTTCTTTAATTTAGATTTCAATAGATTACAGTAAGTCTAGGCCTTAATATAAGTTGCTATAATTTAAAATTTATTTCTAAAATGTAAATCAGATTAGTATGATCTCCCCTGGTTTGTTCGTTGATGGGAGGTGCAAGGACAATATTTATTTCCTTTCATTCCTGTGCTGAAACTGTATAAAAAACAGCAGTATTCGTAGCATCATAGTTGAAGAAGAATGTGGGAAACCTTGTTACCTTCTCATTTTGAAAGGAGACCTATTGGAAATAAGTACCCCACTCTGAAGAAAATTAATTCTTAATGATCCTTTTATGGTGTAATTGTTGCTGTTAGCAAATGTGTAGAAATTTCACGGAAGAAATTGAATTAGGAATGCCCTGTTACTGCATTTATTGTACTGGCTAACATAATTTTTCTTTTCAGGATTTTGGACTGTCTTGTAGATGTTAGGATTGCACACAAAAGGAGGAGGTGCTGGTAATCTCTATGTCCAAAGTCAAGATGGTATCAGAGCATTTCCTGTTCTCTGAAGTTGTAATGGGTATGCAATGTCTTCTGGATTAAGAGTATATGTGTGCTTTTGATCAGCAATAGATTAACATCTGTAGGTCTTGCCTATGACAACCAATACATAAGCTCCTCATTAAGTCAAGAAGGCTCTCTTTATCTACAATCTATTAATATCGGCTTCATGAGCTAGCTATACCCCTGGGATAGTTCTGCGCTACTGTGTGTGTGCATAATTAGTGAGCCCATAGATTTATTTTTTTGCACAGAAAAAAGCTTCTGCTGAAATGTTGCTGTAGTTCTGCCTTTTTCCCCACGAGATGGCGCTGTGGTGCAAGAACAGCAGCAGCTCCCAGCAGAAAATAACTGCTGCGGTTCCACCATTTGCCCACTAGAGGGTGCTGTGGGGACAGAACAAAGCTGCAGCTCCTGGCCAGTAGTGCAGGAAGAGAGAGCCTGACTTCTTCACAGTGCCTGTTAGGCCAGGTCAGGAGACGGGCTCATATGGGCTAGTGGGGGGGGGGGGGCCAGAGGGGGGGGGGGGGGGAATGGGGGTGGAGGGACAGGGCCAGAGTGGGGGAGGGAGAGGCAGGTCCACATGGTGATGGGGGAGGGAGGTGCAGAGTTACAGAGGGACAGGGAGTGGCTGGGTAGGGGCACAGATGACCTGGACAGGGGAGTGGCTGGGTGGGGGCACAGACACATGGGGATGGGGAGGGAGTACAGGGACACAGGAGAGTGCCTGGGTGGAGGCACAGAGACATGGGGATGGGGTGTCTGTGTGTGGAGGGGGACATGTTGGGGTGCAAAGGCACATGGGGGTACAGGAACACATTGGGACAGAAGCAGATGTACCTACTGAATGGGAGAGGTGAGGGGTCAGCCAGGGTCTGCATGGGGGAAGCTCCCTAACAATCCCTCCCTGCACTTCAAAAAAAAAAAAAAAAAAAAAAAAAAAAAAATCACTATTCCATACTCTCCCCCCCCACACACACATTACCCAACAACCTTCCAAGTTCACACCTAGGCCTTGGCTACACTTGAGAGTTACAGCGAAATAAAGCTGCCCACAGTGCTGTAACTCACTCCCCGTCCACACTGGCAAGGCATTTGCAGCACTGTATCTCCGTGGCTACAGCGCTGCAGGTACTCCACCTCCCCGAGAGGATTAACAGCTGGTGCGGAGTGGCTGAGATGTGTAAACGAGGAGTAACCTTATTACGCAGTGATTGACCTCCGGAAACTCCCCATAATCCTTTTAAGTGAAGGTTCCTCTCTTTGTTTTGTTGTGAACTCTGGATGTTCCGGGAGCTGCTTATCAAAAAGACAAACACAGCTACTGTTTGCTTTGGGCTCCCTTTGGAAGGCTCACAGCTAATGTTTGCTTGAAGAGAGAGGCTGCGTGGGGGGGAGGGGTCCATTTCGGGAGCGGCTGCTTATCTGGTCTGTGAGGAAAAAAACAAACAGCTGCTGTTTGCTTTCAGTGAGTGAGAGAGAGGTGGAGGAGGGAGGGGAGTCGGAACTTGCAAGGCAGGGTGCTGACACAGTGTCGGCACTCCAAAAATCCACTCTCTCTCCCCCCCACGCTCCGTCACACTCCACCCCACCACCCCTCTTTTGAAAAGCACATTGCAGCCACTTGAACGCTGGGATAGCTGCCCATAATGCACCGCTTCCAATGCCGCTGCAAATTTGGCCACAACAGTGCACTGGCAGCTGTCAGTGTGGACAGACTGCAGTGCTTTCCCTCTTCAGCTGTACGAAGACAGGTTTAATATTCAGCGCTGTACAGCTGCAAGTGTAGCCATACCCTCAGTCTC